ATATATAAAACAGGCAGGGCGGCCGAGGGGGGGGGGGCAGGGGGGGGGCAGCAGATACACTGCTATACCCATAGATATCTGATATAAACTAGATAGCGCATCTCTTTTAGTAAAATTTAAGACAAGAATATTGCAGCGGTTAGCCCCATTTGAATAGATGGCGGCCTTGTTGGAGTTTCCCACTCGCTAATAAACGCTTCAAAAACAATAACTTTCATCATTTGAATAGTTTGAACATGTATTTGGAATAGGTTTAACTTAATGTTTAAGTTCCCTGTTTAAGAAATAGAAAACATACGAGTCTTCTCACTTCATGGGAATATCCTGAGTCTGCAATCACGGCTTCAATTTTTGAATTGCAGAATAATTAGTGTAATAATAATTAGCACTATCTAGTGTATATAAGATATATGTGGCTATACCTCGTTGGTATATTTGTTGTTTGCATCTACAAACTTACCTGTACAAATTTTTCCATTTCCATAATATCCACGCTTGCAGAAGCAATCAACCACACCATTAATCTCATGTGCCTCGGCATTTTCATCGCAAGGATTCTCTGTTTTGAAGGAAATAGTTTTGAACTTGATTTATTACCGTCCGTGAAAGGAGATATCTTGCTTTAAAATGTACGAAGTCAACTCAAAAATAGTACAAATAAGTTATTTAAAAAATATAATTCTAACCAAGAAATAGAAAAGGAGTCGCATGCCGAACTGTGGAATTGCATAAAAAATTCGTATCGCCGCCACACCCACAAATGTCTACGACCGCACCTACATATTTTTGCATGTCTACAATTCTAATTTTAAACAGCCAATCGACGTTTAATTGTAACTGTTACCATGCAAGAACCGGATTAGCTGTTTAAAATTAGAATGTAAACATGCGAAAATATGTAGGTGCGGACGTAGACGTTTGTGGTAGTGGCGGCAATATGATTTTTTTATGCATTCCACAGTTTGGTGAGTTCCGTGAATTCTCCAAACATTCCCCGAGTTTTTAGAAACATTCATTCGCACCATTTATCATAAAATGTGGCTGATCATTTTCATCGCAATGATTTTCTGTGAGGTACAAAAGTTTAAGCGTTTGTATTAGGTATTTCTCTTTAAAAAAAGTATAACCTGAACTTTCTAGGTTCCGATCACTATAGAGCGCCTAGGTTCGATTCCCAACGTGGCCAGGCATATTTTTCAAGCTTGCCCGGTGTTGATATACACTCAGAGTAACATCACAAGCATCATATTCACCTGAGTACATTACACCAACACAGAAAAATCATGATTACTAGATTACATTGATATCGAAGGAACTAGATTCTGTTCCGAAATATCAGTATATCACATATACTCGAACCGACTTGACCGCGTAGCTCAGTTGGCCGAGCATTGGGCTAGTATTCCAAAGGTCGTTGGTTCGATTCCCACCGCGTGGCCAGGCATATTTTTCAAGCTGCCCGGTGTGGATATACACTCAGAATAACATCACAAGCATCATGTTCACCTGAGTACATTTAACACCAACACAGAAAAATATCTCAATTTAATAATATATACAATCGTCCGTCCTTTGGATTCCGGTGCTGCGTTGACAGTCACTCGTGCATGTTTTATCCAACTAAGCCATTCTATTAGCTAAACTATGATTAAAAGTTTCAACTAAATCATTAGAATAGTTGGATGCACTTAGTAAAATAAAAGTCTTGATGGAAGACAAAACTCTTATATATTCAAAAACACGACAAGTCAACTTACCCTGTGCTTTTGCTGGGACCAAAACCAAAAGCAACATCAGAAGATACAAGCACATCATCTTCCAGAACATCTATATGAATAAACACTGTCAGTCAATCTACACTAAATTAACCCTTTTTCGTCTAAGGCCTTGTAATGAATTAGTGGAGTTTTAAATTAATAATGTATTTTTGCATGGTGCTGCATATTGATTTTTCATCACTTAAATTATAGTGTAGGAATTGTTTAGTAGCTTAAAGTTTAAATATTTTTTAAATATGGTTTAGGAATCAAAGTGATATAATCGGAACTTAAGATGTCTTGAATTTTTCTGTTTCCAAACTGACCACTAACCAAAATTTGCGGCTTAACTTGCCTGCAGGGACGTACTGGGTTCTTGAAAAAGACGACGAATGAGCAACGTCTGAAGGGGCCAAGGACCAGTGACGGATGGATCAAGAATTGGGTGGGGGTATTACTGCATGATCAAACATGAAACATTTCAATCGCTAATAATCTTATTTTTCCCAAACTTGTAGGGGAGGGGGGGGGGGAACATCGGTAATTTGTTAAATACTTCGGTAATATTTTCGTAAATTTAGATTTTTATAGTAGAAATTGTAATATCTGAATCTTGATTTTCAAAATTAAAATCTATATTTTTTATCTTTTCCAATGTTTTAATTTTAGGGGCCCAAGATGGCAGGGGTCCACAACAAGTTCTTGTCGGCTAGTCCCTAGCCAGCATGTCCTTGCTTGCCTGGTGCGGACACACTCACAGACAACATCACAAACATATACTTAAGAAATGTTGGTCATCGCCATCGGGTCTCAAAAGGCTCAGAAAGCTAAAGTGTAACTGTGATTTACAGGCGTTACAAGTCGCCAAACATACATGCATATAATGAATGCAACTATATATAGCTCACAAAATGATAGGATCAACATTTAAAGGAAAGGGATAAGCGCACATTCATTGTGCCTTTTGCACTTCGACGTCGAGGCTTTGCGCTCCGGTGATCCAGGCATTCCTCAATAAAGACAGTCAACTTTGCAAAATGTTACATTAACTGGAAACCGCAATTTTCACGAGAGAGATTTAAATAAATATTAGTCAACATGCAGTGTGCAGTATCGATATTTTGTCAGCTTACTACATCATTTGGTTATATGGGTTAGAATATAAAATTTTACTTAATTCAAAACCGCTACATCAATGATTCGTGTTTTCTGTGGAATCGGTGCTTAAATTTTTGACGTTAACAAAAAAGTTACGGTCAAATTAAACTCCATTTGTTTTTTATTCGTGGATTTGAATTTGGAAATTGCATTTTTCTCCAGAGGGCAGAGTAATCAACTAATTTCTATGCGCAATTTCCCACGACTATATAATATAGTGTACTCTGGTTTGGTAGGAATATTTCAGTGTACAATATATCATTATCTTTTAAAAATATTTAAATCGCAGCGGGATTCTGACTATAATTGTTCAAGTTGTTCCTGCAGGGGCATAATTATAAAAGTGCAAGTCACGAAACTCTTTATTACATCTGGTAATCTTAAAACTGTATAGTAAGTCCTTTTTAAATTTATATATACTTCCATGTTTTGTATATTTCGGATATTCCGGTAAATTTCATCAATAAGACAATGCAACCATGCAACATGAAGAGTTGACGTCATGCATGGATGACTTGCACGACACGTCGACTTTTATTAAGCCACATAAAGGTCTTTGTCACCTCTCCCGAAGTACCACGTGACCAGGCACCAGCAGAGACTGTTCGAGTTACGACCTGCATGACCTACAGAGCCTGGATTACGAAGATAGCTATAGACCGCATGCAGGAATACTCTTTCATTTAATCTAACTTTGGCGATTCATAATTGATTATACATTGCAAAATGGAAACTCGAAATTTGTTATAAAATCTAAACTGGCCTTTCTCGGGAAAACTTGCGATTGGTGCATGCATGAAGCCCCTTGACCACATGTAGAACTTAAAACTTGACCTGTAGGATGGGTTCGTTTAGCTCAGATTTTATTTCAATACGCATTAATGTTCAATTCTTATGCCGGAGAAAATTAGCGACTGAAATTGCCAAAATTAACTTATTAATTTATTAAGCGTGGCTAATTTTAAAACCCTTAAACACATCTGCGCCTGAATTACGAGCTTCCTTCGACTAGTCATGGGGAACACAAATGAATTTTGAATTTCCACGCGAAAGTCTTGTTAACGAAGCAGCTTTCTTGTTTGTGGGAGATAAAGATTTAGTTGGTTCAGAAACGTGCAGATTAACAGGTGAGTTTATTTTTTTGAGATTTGCAAAATAACAAAAAGCCCAACATGTAATTCTGAAATATAATCCTGTCGAGTATGTTGGCTGTTTCTCGCATCATAAGACAAAAGTCATGACACCGAGGCAAGTACGCCTAGCGAGGGGGGGGCAAATTGCCCCGGGCCCCCACCTTAATAGAGCCCCCAACTTGAGAGTGAGAGCCTAAAATTGAGTAGGTTCTTTAAATTGGTCAGATAATTTTTGAAATTGAGGGATCCTTACAGTGCCTCCACCTGCAGTCGAATTAAGGTCTACTAGTTGGGTCTAGCTTAAAAATATGATGTTATGGGTCCGGGCCCCGCGAATTCTCTCGGCGTCCCTGAAAACAGGCCTCAAGACTAGTCAGTTCCCAATAACTATGAAATGGAGTCGAAATAACCTTGAAATTTGCACATGTCTTGATTTCAACAACTTATAACTTGATTAAAAGATTATAATTAGTTTAACTTTAATTTTACAGTAAACTAAGTATTCACGTATATATGGTATGTCTAATAAACGTATATATATATATATATATATATATATATATATATGTTTCGGCGTCCTACGTACGCCTCATCAGTGCAGCTCGGGCGATGACCTTCTTATTGATATACATGACACTTGCTCTCCCAAGCTCATGTGGTACAACACGGGCTATCAACGCATCCAGACATGCGCAGAGTGACATGGGGGCAGAGTGCTCAAACAACCACGAGAGAAGTGAGCTTTGCATTATTGCTAATGGACACCCAATTAACTCCACAATTAACTCTACAACACCGAAATGAAGGAGCGTATATATATATATATATATATATATATATATATATATATATATATATATATATATATATATATATATATATATATATATATATATATATATATAATTTTGCTTACCTCAAAAATTCCGCAACAGTTCACATACTCGTGTGTAAATAAAGTGGTTTATTATGCAACGAAATTTCACATGATTTTTTTATGATTGCTGCATGATTCGGTAAAGAAAATTCAAATAGTTTATACAATATTATAATCGACAATTAATTAAAATTGTTTGGCCCAATTTAGGTTAAAAGTCATCTGCTTTTGCATAATTAAAACAGCTATATAAAGCAGCTATAGAATAGCGCTATCTTCAAACGACATGTCTGCATGTCTGCATGTCGGAACAAACAATGGCTGCATGATATTAATTTTTTCCTGATAGTTCGTTTCTGCTATGTAATATACAAATAATGAATAACATTTCATCTTTCACCCAATGAAAATATTCTTACCATTGCACGAAGAAACATTCATTAATTAATTATTTGTTTTATATAGCCTAATACCAAAATAGACTAATAGATTCGTATATGAGAAGCATTTTGACGGATGTGAGTTCATCGAAAACATAAAGAGTGCAATGGAATAAAACGTATAGTACAATTGCACTCGCGAAGAGTGCAGTGGAACGTATTCCATTGCACTCTTGGGAAATGGAATTTTCTATATTCAATATCACGTGACCATAAACAGCCAATTAAACGATCAGAATCCAATAAGGTATTATATAATATATATAGTTGCACACATAAGCCAACATTAACAGACAATTAGCCCGATCAACAGCCGGATCTCGTAAACACTGTAGAAAAATTACTTGCAAATATTTGACAAATTTATTACCACGCGAAACATGTTTGCATGCCTTTTTCAAATTCCCACTTGGACCATTGTTTTGTTCTTCGACATCCACTGAATACTACATCGATTTCAATATTAAAATGTATTTCTGAAACAAGTCCTTGCAGCCGAGCAGTCTATACTGTATATATAGGCAGCAAGTTAAATCCTATAACTGATCTATATAGCCTATACACGATTATATACCTTCAATTAATTTAAATATTTAAACTCCAACAGAATTTAAATTTAAACTTCAACAGAAGCCCTCTTTTGCTGGAAAGAAAATGCCCTTTTTTTCAGTAGTAAAACTCTGTAAAAGCCATTTACGACGTTACATATAGAGACTCTATATATTTTCACAAATTTTCGTTCGGCTTGTAAACGACATAAAATTGTTTGATTTTGGTCATATACAAAATTGCCTTTTTGGCCAATTAATGCCCCTCCACTTTCGAAATGCTTCCGCGGCCATTATGAAAGGAACTGTCCAATCTATACATTTTTACGAATTACAGAGTATTGAAAGTATTGGTACTGTAAGTTGTGTAATGCTGTTTCAAATCGTGCATGATCTAGCCCTAAATCTTTCGCCCCCTCAATAAGACAATAGTGTCGAGCGAAGCAGTATACAAAAACTAATTATTGAATTCCTATATTAGCTATATATTTCAACTGCACTCGAAATTTTAATACCATTTGTGTATTAGTGAACACCAAACATATTGACTGAATCATGCTATTTACACCCAGTACGTGTTAGCCTATATATGGCCTGTTATATCGGGTGTTCACTATACCAAAACGGTGTTAACATTTACAATAAATCAGTGTCTAAAAGCTGCAATGATAGCTATAGGCCTATACACCATTTCGATCAAGTTCCAATTATATATAGACTATAAATCTTAACCGGATTCGCTGTTACAGACTAAATATTTCCCTCATTTAATGGAGTATATATAGCAGAGCACTAGAAAGGTATTTATATAATTCGCATGTTAACCATGTATATTTAGACTAACCTTTGTTGTGAAATCCAAAATTGGTGGAAAGGAATTAAGATGATATTTGGTACCAATGCTTTAAGCCTCGATTTTTCTTAGTATTAACAATTCTGCTGTATTTTGAAAGACTCTTCCTGTATACAGATATTTTCAAATGAATGCCAGGCTAATCGTTCGCGCTGCAATGGCGTCACCAACTCTTTGTAACACTTGGCAACAATACAGCATTAATGCAAAATTGAAAGAAAAATAGCTACCCGTTAAACATTCGCTGGAGGGCTTCCGTCTTTCTTTTGAAAATTAATCAAATTATTTATCTGATACCACTTTGAATGGCATTCTGGGCCTTTTAGGAATTAATTTAAATTAAGTTAGCTAAACTGATGTACAACTGGTACGAGTTAAGTTTGGTTTACATTATATATACTGCGATTCCTTGATCAGCATTTCCTCCTATCAAAGTGGGTGAACTCATAATCCAATAATCAAAAAACAAAATAAAGCTTTATTCAAAAGTGTTATAATTTATTATGTTTGATGACACTACTGGTGTGAATAAACAAACCTCATATAATGCAAATTGGCGTGAATAAAGAAACCTTTTATATAGTGTAAATTTGTCTTTGAGAGTCTATTGAGAGCCAATTAAAGCTGTTATTGACTGACACTGACTGACATGAGATTAACGCCCGTATTCTAAAAGCTCGATCACTCATGCCCGCTCACACTCAATGAGTGGAGGTTCAATCTCAACCTCGTACCCAGGGTATTACCTTCGCTCACCCCCTGCTGCGGAAATACCCTGGTGCCGGCTGCTCACGTGGCTCCCAAGATATTTTAATATCTAGAAAAACTCCAAATTTAAAATATTTATTAGAACACAGGCGGCCCAATATTTCGGCGAGATGTACAAGTATTTCGGCGAGGTATTTCGACGAGATGTACAAGTTTTGGACCATATTTTAACAATGGAAGTCAAAACCCATTTTATATTGAACTTACCCGGACCGAAAATTACTACGGCGAACGTCTGCGCAACCAGGCCTCCTTTACCGTTGGATTTACAGGGGGGAAAGCAGATA